TCAGTTGATGAACATTTAGGTTGTTCCACATTTTGACTATGAATAATAATGTTGCTGTGAGCAGTGATGTACAAGTTTTTGAGCGAATGCATTATATTTTTATTTCTCTTGGGTATGTACCTCGGAGTGAAATCCTAGGTCAAATGGTAACTCAATATTTTACACATTAAGAAACTGCCAAATCAATTTCAAATCATTTTTCAAAACAATCTACAATCAAGCCAGCAATGTATAAGGATTCTGATTGCTACACATCCTGGTCAACATTTACAATCTCTCTTTTTGAATACAGCCATCTTAGTGAAGTGATATTTCATGGTGGTTTTGATTTGAATTCCATAATTATAATGATGTTTAACATCTTTTCATGTGCTTATTTTCCATTTGTATGTCTTTGGAGAAAAGTCTGTTCAAATCCTTTGCCCATTTTAAAGTGAGTTATTTGTCTTTTAATTATTGAGTTTTAACAGTTCTTTACATATTTTGGATATCAACCACTTATCAAAAAGAATAAACTACCTAGGAATAAATTTATCCAAAGAAATGAAAGAATTGTACACTGAATACTCTAAGACATTGATGAAAGAAATGGAAGATGACTCAAATGAATGGAATACAATTATGTGCTTATGGATTAGAAGAATAAATATTGCTAAAATGTCCATGCTACTCAAAGCAATCTACATATTTAATTCAATCCATATCAAAATTCCAATGACATTTTTTACAGAAATAGAACAAACAACCCTAAAATTTATATGGAGCCATAGAGGATTCTGGATAGCCTAACCATTCTTGAGAAAGAAGAACAAATTTGAAATTTTCTGATTTCAAACTATACAAATCTATACAATGGGCAGGGAAGGGTATAGCCCAATGGTAACTCTATATATGCATGAGGTCCTGGGTTCAACCCTCAGTACCTCCATTAAAAACAAATAAACCTAATTACCTCTAACCCTAATGTAACTATGAACCTTGGTTGATAATAATATTTCCATGTTTGTTCATTGATTGTCCCATATATGCCACACTGATGAAGGATGCTGAGGGTACGGGAGTATATATGTGTGGATGGGAGGGTTATGTGCGAACTCTATTTTCTGCTCATTTCTGCTGTGAACCTGAAACTGCTCTTAAAAAAATGAAGTCTAGGCCAGCCACCACCCCTGCTCCGGTGGGCTCAGGCTGGCTGGTCGGGAGCCCCCTCATTGGGTGGCAGGTGGGTGGGCAGGTGGTGGCCAGGGAGCTTCGTCCAGGAGCTGTGACGGGAAATGCTCCCTCAGGCCCGCTCCTGGGAGCCAGAAGCCAGGCCTCGGCACCTGCCACAAGCTGGAAGCTGAGTGCGTGGCCAGCCTTGGGCGGGCTGGGCTGCCCAGAGCTCAGTCATTGGCCTTTAGAAGTAGTCTAACATCTCCACTCATAACATCACCAAAATGGGGTTTCCTGAGGCAGTGCTTCATCAACAGACTCATCTTCACTACCAGATGCTGATGTTCTTCAAGAATCAGTCCCTTGGAGGTGAATCAGCAAAAATGGTGAATACAGAACTCCCAAGGACCCATCCCTTCATATAAACAGCAAATAAATTAGCACAACCTGTCAGAATCAAATTTATGTGAACTGTGGAAATGAGTCAAACGTTTGAAATAACTAGGAAAACACTTAATCAAGAAAAAGGTGATTGAATCTCGGTAGAAAAATTTGTGTCATTTAAACTTGTCCTGGTCCCGTTTTCTCATCCCCAGCTCAGTGGCAGTTTTGAAGACAACAATCTGCATTTCTAGTGTAGGTTCTTGGTCCCAGAGGGAGCAGATTGGATCTTGTACTCAAAGAATTGTGGTAGTTTATTTTGACCTGTCTGGTGGTTCCCTGAAGGACTAGTGCAAAGGGCTTGCCTTTATTTTGCTTAACTTGAAACTCTCCCAAGGCAGAAAGGTGACTACCCAGGTTTTTGTCAAAAAAACTTTTGAAGGCAAGTTTGTTAGCTGCCGCCACGTGGGAAAAGAAATAACAGTTAAGTTGACCCACCAAAAGGCCTGGAAGGGATGGCTGAGGTGTGATAATTTGAAGAATAAAAATTTTTAAAAGCTCCTAGGTATTTTGGGGATCCAAAAGGACACGTGCACATCTGGGAGGGGTAGATGCTCAGAAGAGTCTTGAAGAGGCCCTGAACTCTGGCTAACTTTCAGGCTCTGCTCAAACAGGAAATGTCAATTGCCCAGCTGAATGTTCAAGGTATGACCCAACACATACAGAGAGCCCACTGACAAAGACTGGAAGCTTTTCTTCATTTTTTGGTTCTGGACATTTAAGGAAATCTCTGATCACTAACTGACCATTAGGCCAACAGAATACAGACTTCAGTGGCCACACACAACAAGGAATACTGACTTTATAAAGTTAGTTGGGGAAAGTAAATAAACAACAGCATTCACAACATGCAGCAACAATAAACTCTTGACTGGGAGGTGAATCTGATTTTCAGACTTGCCACGCTATGTTATACACAAGTGACTGTTAATCAGTGTCCAATTTTCAACAAAAAATTACAAGGCTGACAAAAACAAGAAAGCATGGCCCATACACAGGAACAAGAGAAATTTATAAAAATTGTCCCTAAGGAAGTATAGACTAGACTTAATAGACTTTCCATCAACTCTTTTAAATATGCTGGAGGAACTGAAAGAAACCATGAGCAAAGAACTAAAGGAAATCAGGAGACCAATGACTCACCAGAAAGGATATCAATGAGGAGATTGAAGTTATTTAAAGGAGCCAAGTAGAAATTCTGAAGTTGAAAAGTACAATACCTGAAACTAAAAATTCTCTGGGGCTCAACATCAGATGTCAGTATTCAGAAAAAGAATCAGCAGACTTCAGGATTGGCCACTAAGATTACTCAGTCTGAGGAACAGAAAGGAAAAAGAATGAAGAAAAATGAACAGATGCACAGGGAAATATACACAAAGTGTTAATGATAAATCACAGAGAAAAAAATGTGACAATGAGTGTGTATATGTCCATGAATGACTGAAAAATTGTGCTGAACACTGGAATTTGACACAACACTGTAAAATGATTATAAATCAATAAAAAATGTTAAAAAAAAGAAAAATGAACAGAGCTTAAGAGATCTCTGAGACAACATCAAGAATACCAATATACATAACCTTCCATTTTAAGGAACTAGAAAATAGCAAAAGAAAAGCAAAGTAAAGCCAGTGCTAGCAGAAGGAGGGAAATAATGAAGATTAGAAGAGAGATAAATGTAATAGACAATAGAAAAGAAAATCAGTGAAACCAGAATGGAAAGATTGGTAAAATTAACAAAACTTTAAATAGAATGACCAAGGTGGGGGTGGGGATACACATCCAAATTATTAAAATCAAGAATAAAGTGGGGATATTATTACCAACCTTAAAGAAATAAAAATAATTATTAAAAAATATTAGCCATTAGGTGAAATGTACAAATTCCCAGAAACAAAGTACCAAAACTGACTCAAGAAGAAATAGAATAGACATAACATTGCAAGTAAGGATATTGAACGAGTAATCAAAAAACTTCCAGCAAAGAAACATATTCTTTTGTCCCTTATGCTTCTGGTGTCATACCTAAGAAATTATTGCCTAACACAAACTCATGAAGATTTACATTGAGATTTGTCAATTTTGGGTTAATTTGAGGGGATGATGTAAAGTAGGATTCAACCTCACTGTTTTGTATGTAAATATTTAGTAGTTCCAGCAACAGTTGTTAAGATGGCTATTTTTTTCCTATTAATTTTCTTGAAAATCAATTGACCATAAATGTAAGGGTTTACATATAAACTCCAATTCTATTCCATTGGAGTATATGTGTATCCTCAAGCCAGTATCATATTGTCTTGATTACTGTAGATTTGTAGTAAGTTTTGAAATCAGAAAATAAAATTTCTTCAACTTTGTTCTTTTTTCAAGAACATTTTGACCCCTAGACTTCTTGCAATTTCAAATGAATTTTAGGATCACCTTGTCAATTTCTTTAAAAGAGGCATCTAGGATTTTGATAGGAAATGCACGAATCTGCAGATCAGTTTGGGGAGTATCGCCATCCTAATAATATTGTCTTATCATCCATGAACATAGGATTTCTTTCCATTTATTTAAATCTTTAATTTTTCAATGTTTTTT